AGCGCAGCACCCCTCCCAGTGGGCAGCAGTGGGGTCGGGGACCAGCTATCTACTAAACGTTTGAGGCTGCAAGAGCAGCTGCGCGCTTGCACAGAGATTCTGGCTGCTGCGGGGCTGTGTGTTGACGCGGGTGTCGCGGCTGTTCCGAGCACCCGGGATACTGTTAACGAGCTGTTCCAAGCCCAGATGCAGTGTTTTCTTGCCATATGTTCCACAGTGAAGTTTGTGGTCCTTCACACGGGGCAGTATGGAGCTCGAGACCCGAACCCCTGCATGGGATGCCCACTCAGGATTCACACCCTCCCAGTCCCGGGTCCCCCGGATTCCAGGGACCATGCATTTCCCCGTTCACCAGTCACGGTGCGCAGCGAGGGGAGCTACACGAGGCAGAGGCTGTGCTGGGCCCTGGGGATACAAAGAGGAAGAAAATGTTTCCGGAGGCTGTGAGGAACTGAGGCTAGCGCAAAGGAAGGCCACGGAGCAGGTCACACTGACAACATTCTAAGCACTGTGAAACCCGTACTTATCAAGGACTCTGGGAAGTCAGAACAATCAGTGAAAATAGTTGTTACAGGCTTGAAGTTTTCATTTGCATAGCCAACATCTAAACACCTTTCCTATTCGGGAGGATTCAGCAGATAGGCAAAGGACAGCTCCCCTCCTCTCTAGGCTGAGTAAGAGCCTGTCACCCTGTCACCCCAACCCCCGACAGTGGACTGGGACACGTGTGTAAATGCCCATCTCCACCTGGGGCCCCGCAGGGTTCCAGACTTGCCGGGACGTGATATCTGCGCAGCTCCACGGAGGTGGTCGCAGAGTACCAGAGGGCTCATTGTACAAGTCCAAGCCAGACTTGTGATGTCCCGCAAACTTGCTTCCTTCCAGTGTTCTCCACTGAGCCACGAGCTCAAGTCAGCAACCTTGGGAACAGCTCTGAGGCCTCTCTCTCCCACACATGCACCCCACTTGAGCCAGTGACCCGACTTTTAAAATGCACCCCAGTGTTGAACACTTCTTACGTCGCTGCTCTCCACCCCAGCCTCTGTGCCCCCCCCACCCCTAACCTGCTCTTCTGAAATGATTCCGTAACAGGTTGCCTTCCTTCTGAGCTTTTCATACTCCTGTCTGTCCTTAACAAAAGTCAAAGAAAATGCCTTAAAATGTGAGTCATATCCTATTCTCCAGTTCCATATTCTGCAGGGGCTTCTCCTCACATATAGAATGCAATGTAGTGTCTTTCCCATGGCCTACAGGCCCTCCCTGGTTTGTCCCCTGCCTTGACCTTATTTTCTTCTTAACCTTTCTCACTCCCCTCCAGCATGACTGGTTGCCTGTCTGTTCCTCAAGCACCAAGATGTGAGAATATGGTGATGTGGAAATGTCAGATCTGGTGGAGAAGAACTGACATAAACCAGCAGAGAGAAGAGAAACTGGGGTTGAGAAGTTCCTGACAGTGCAGAGGGAGCTGAGAGCCAAACCCAAGGGGGAGAGATTGGTTCTCCACAAGAGGAGAGCTGCCTCATTTAGTGTTATGGGGGGGGTGAGGAGTGGGGAGCGGCTAGGAGAGGTGTACAAATGGCTGCTGGATTGAGGGTTCAGGTGAGGAGCCAGGAAGGAGATAATGGGTGAAGAAAGGGGATTAGGGCAGCAAAAACAATCACTGCAAAAACACAGCCTTGCACGAAGAGGTTAAGGGCTGGCCACACACATACTGAGCCCCTGCTATTTGCCAGAGACTGGTGCCCAGCGCTGACACTGACAGTGACTTACTCTCACTTGCCCTTGAGCCTAGAAACTAAAGACTTGTGTTCTCAGTGAGACCTTGAAAGCCCTTGCTAGGGTCCGAGCCTGGGACCTTCTCTCTAAACTGGAGTAACAATAAGTCCTGCTCTGTTGATTACAGTGGTCATCTATGTGTTGTATGAAGAACTGCATGTTCATGAGATGTGGTAGTTGGACTGGACACCCATGAAGGAAGGGGCTCTTGTCTATTCGCTGTTATATTGCTGTTTATTGATGGGGGTCTAATACACATAAAGTGATTCACCTAAATGAATGAATATAACTTATTCAGTATGAGTTTTAGGACAAAGGACCTGCTGCCTCATAGGTGTTCAGGAGTTACTGGGTATCTTCTTAATGGCAAAAATATCCCGATGCCATCACAGAAGTGTGGTGGTGCAGTGAGATGGTCTTGACACCCCAAAGGGCAGAAGCTCCCCTCTTACACATCTAGTTCATCCATAACATGATGATCAAAGTCATTTAGGATCCACTACTCCCCACTTTTTCAGTGCCTCCTCCAGTCCTCCCCTCACCCCGTTTTATACCAAGCACTGAACTGGACACACACTTCTCTGTACCTGCAGCCTTAGTGGTGAGGTGCTACTTCATCAGATAAGAGACACCAGCTCCACAAAGATCTTGACAGACTGTAGCAATTAGCTGAAGTGAAGGAGATGAATTTGAATGGGGCTCAATGTCTTGACAAGCACTGAAGTTTGAGAAGTGGACAGCAGAGAGCAGGTGAGAAGGAAAATGTAGCTGTTGCTCCCAAGCACAAGAAACACGCAACCAAGTAAGCAAGACAAATGCATGCAAGGGACAGAGGTCTGGAAAGGACCACAAGAAACTGTCTTCTGGTATTTTTTGTAGCCTCATCTAAAATCTGCATCATATGATGAGAGCTCCACAATAAAACTAGAGACTCCTTTTCTTCAATTGAAATGAAAATAGGACATCAACATGTTCCTTAAACTCAGGCTGAACTAATTGTAGCTCCCTGGTGGTTCACCAGCCTCTGGATCAGGAGATGTCTTGCTATTCCCTTGAATCAGAAAGTTGTTTGTTTGTTTGTTTGTTTTTCTCTTAGACCAAGCCCCCGTTTGGTCAAATGTAAATATTTTTCCTTGCTAGCTGTGACAATTTTGTTTTAGGCTAGCTGTGACAATTTTGTGTGCCTAGTTCAAGTTAAAAAAAGAAAAAAAATCTGGCATTAATGGGGCACTACCCTAAGTGATTTGCCTGTGTTTTCACATTTAACCTGTTTTTATTAACTTATCCTTTCGATAAGAGAATCAAGATTTCAATTGGATCAAGTAACTTCTTCAAGGTGATATGGGCAGTCAGAACTCTTAAATGGGGTACATCTGACTCCCACAGACTGTCTCCTTCAAATGAGACAGTTAAATCTGGGGTGAACCAAACAGGCACATGACATGAAGGAATTTGAGACTCTGGAAAATATGTCTGTGCAAAGTGGGCGCAGTTTCTGGCGGCCTGGGATGTTGCTCTACTGCATGTTGTCTGCCCTCTCGAAGCACCAACAGCCAGTTCTCTGAATTTCTCTTTAGGAAATTCCTCCTGCCTAATAAAAGCCCTTGCCGAGAAGGCTCAAAAACCCAGCAGCAATTAATTATTGACAAAGCATGTGAATTAGAGATAAAAGAAAAGTCATTCTTGCTCCACGCACTGGATAGTAAATAAATTTAATTATGGTAAGGGAAGCTGAGGGATCTTCATCTGTATTAAGTTTTATTAGCTGAGACATTTAAAAGCATGTCATCATAACAAAGAGGTCTTGTGTAATCCTAAATGTACCACTTTGGTGCAAAGCTCAGAAGTGAATAGACTTAATGGAGCACAGGGTGGCAGATGGTCTGCTGTACCGGCAGGTATTGAACAGGTTTATCGCCAATTAACTTTGGTCTACATCTGCCTATAACAAATTGACTGTACAGTATAATCCTGTGCCTCCTTTTAGCAACGATTGGCCTTGCCCATTGGGATTAATGGACAAATAGCCTCAGGCTCCTGCAATATCTTGAAACTCCCAAATAAGACAAGGCAGCTCTGAAGGTGAACAGGGATGGAGAGATGGGTTTGAAGAAGCACCCTTGACAAATAAACTGAGAGACATGGGCCATGGTGTGAGATCTCTAACAGCCTCAAGGGGCAATCTTGGAAACAAAGAAAGAAGAAACCCCATATGTGAAGTAGACCTGTTCTATATGCTTGCACACCAGATGTCACTACTCTCAATTTTGAACTTGAGGAGAGTTTTAAGATTTAACAAATGAGGATAATGAGGCTCCAGATGTGATTCAACTTCCTGAGCTCTCAGAGCCAGTCTGATTGTCTATGGCCATGCCTGACTCTGGGCTTCACTATCTTCATTTGTCCTTGATGCCTTTGGCCTAAGTCTGGGATCAACAAACTTTTTCTAAAAGGGTCAGATAGTATGTTTGGCTTCATGGGTCCGATGGTCTTTGCTGCAACTACTCAGCTCTGCAGAGATACAAAAACAACCATAGACAATACATAAAGGAATGAGTGTAGCTGTGTTTCAGGGAAAGTTTATTTACAAGCATTGAAATTTGAATGTCATATAATTTTCATGCATCACAGAATACTATTATCATTCTTTGTTTTTTTTCCCCCCAACCAACCACTTAAAGAATAAAAATCATTCCTAGTTGCAGGTCATAGCAAAATAGGAGGCAGGTAGTACTTTGCCAAGGGCTAGATGAATCTTTGAGGTCATACTGAGCTCAGTCATATTTTGAAAACCATTGCAATGATAGCCTTGATTTGTTACACATGCATGCTTCTATGCTAAGTTCTTTGCAAGTATTATCTCACTTAATCCTTATACTACAGTGTGAAGTATATGTTCTCATTATTTTCATTTCAGAGATTATAGAACTCATACATAGAGAAATTATGAGTAGATCTAGGTTAAACATAACTGGTAAACATAGATCAGCAAGCTAAACTCAGGTCTATAAGGTGCAAAAGAATAAATGTGCAAGCCTTCTGCTGCCTTTTTCTAATAATGCTCTCATCATTAACTATCCTGGGTTCAAAAGAACTTCCAAGTTGAAGTTCAGCTATCAATGAATAGTTCCCAACTAAGCTATTTAGTCATACATTTTAAGCAAACAGTTAAAATATTTCTGGGTAAGAATAACCTCTGTCTTTCCTTTTACTCCCTCTTCCAGAAATGTCATGCCGAAGACTTTGGATGGACAGATAACCATGGAGAAGACGCCGAGTTACTTTGTGACCAATGAGGCCCCTAGGCGTATCCACTCCATGGCCAAGGACATCAAACTGATCGTAGTGGTGCGGAACCCCGTGACCAGGGCCATCTCTGATTACACACAGACTCTGTCAAAGAAACCTGAGATCCCCACCTTCGAGGTGCTGGCCTTCAAAAACCGGACCCTCGGGCTGATCGATGCCTCCTGGAGCGCCATTCGAATAGGGATTTATGCACTGCATCTGGAAAACTGGCTCCAGTACTTTCCCCTCTCACAGATCCTCTTTGTCAGTGGCGAGAGACTCATAGTGGACCCTGCAGGGGAAATGGCCAAAGTGCAGGATTTTCTAGGCCTGAAGCGTGTTGTGACTGAGAAGCATTTCTATTTCAACAAAACCAAGGGGTTCCCTTGCTTAAAGAAACCCGAAGATAGCAGTGCCCCCAGGTGCCTAGGCAAGAGCAAAGGTCGGACTCATCCCCGCATCGACCCAGATGTGATCCACAGACTGAGGAAGTTCTACAAACCCTTCAACATGATGTTTTACCAAATGACTGGTCAAGATTTCCAGTGGGAACAGGAAGAGGGAGACAAATGAGGCTAGAGATGTGAAGGGAAGGCCAGTGGATTGCTAAGGAGGCTCCTTACCTGAGCCCTGACTCCCCCAGGGTTTGTGGCTTCAGCCTTGCTGGAGGGCCAGCTAGATCTCTTCCTTTGACCATTCAGGATCGCTTCCAGGGCTGTGGTCTTAGGCACAGGGGTGGATCCCTTGTGGAGGAACCAGGCCTGCCTGTGCAGCAGCATCTGGTTGACCAGATGGCCACTCACAAGCCAGTACTAATCCCTGTCTTCTCTAGTTAATAGAGTCTGAAGACAGGATAAATAGCTGTCAGTGTCAGAGACAGTGCCATGAATGCTCGTTTAAGGGATAAAAAGAAGGGAAGGTCTACTTTTGGGGGCTCTGGCTTTACTTTGGAAAGCAGGAGTTTGAGCCCTGTGGCTGGCACTGGCCCTTGCTATATTAGCCTTGGATTTGGCATCTCTCCAGAACGCTAATTGCGGCTGAGTGCTTCAGGACTACTAGGAGGCAAGGTCCTCCCTCTACAGTGTCTCTAGCCTTCTCCTTAAAGGTCTCACCCCACAATTCCTTGCCTTCCTCCCTTCTCATCTTAGGAAGGCAGAGGTATGCACGTTTCTCACCACCACCTCGCCCCCCCCCCCAAAAAAAAAAGAGAAAACATTTGCATCCCTGGAAGCCTTTTTTTAAGAGCCCCCTATAGCCTCTGGAGGGCTGGGTCTCTCTCTTCATGAGTATACTGGGTTGTAGAGGAGATTGGCCAATGATTCCATATAAAAGTCAGGTCCAAAGGGCTGCTCTAAGCAGTGTGACTGCAGCCCAGTTTGGAGTCCTGAGGTTGACAAAGATGAATGCCATGTCTGGAAAGAAAGCCAGTCTTTTTGGCGGGAGGTCTCCATCCCTGAAGACCATCTGCCTAGGGGGCACCCATTATTCTGAGTCATGCATTGGGGGTAACCTTGGTCCCATTGGTCTCCAGAGGGACACAGACCAGAATATTGGCATGTCTTTTATTCTGAATAACCCTTAGCAATGAAACTAAGAAGGAATGAGTCACCTGTCTTCTCTTTACCCCACATGTCCTGCTCATGGTCATCTCATGCTCCGTTTGCTCTCCTCAGAGATGCTGCCTTGGGACAGTGACAAGAGGACCGACTCCATTTGTCAGATAAAATTTACTGGGTGGGGGAGGGGAGGGCTGTCTGCAGACACTCCCATCAAGGGCTGCTGAATAAAGTGTCTCTTCCTATTAGTTTGATTGGATGAAAAATGCGGCATTTGACATAAAGCACTTGTTCACAGATCTCCCAAACCAAGGCCTGTTATAGTAAAATTGGAAATCTGTATGAGTGGGGGGAGTTAAATCTGTTCAGCTGTTATTAAACTGTCATTTCACCCGCTAAATGAAAACTGTGTTGTTATAAAGCTTAATGCAACCTGATTAATGGGTTTTGATGGCATGTTTGTGTTGGTCACCTCCGTCCCCATCCTACCCTTGAATGTTGGGAATATCCCTTCCCTGTGATTAGAGACTTTCTCTGTCTACCAGGCAGGATGACTCTTCAAACAGCACAGAAGAAATGGCCCCTGTGAAGAATGTACCTTTCTCCACCATCACTGATCATGGCAAGGAGTGGGCTGATGTGCCAGACTCAGAAACCACATATATATACTTTTTTTTTTTTTTTGCCAGCTAAGAAGGTAGTTATTGAGCAGAAGGAAACATGTGTATCTTCCCTACCCAGGTAAAAGAAGCTACAGCTATTCCAGGCACACATACCCACATACCCACACCCCTACAGGAGATTAGTGCTTGCTCAGAAGATTATTCTGTGAACCAGATGATTTGGAACTTTGTGGTCCCAAAGGATTGGGTCTAGTTACACACCAGAGTCAGAGTCACCTTTTTATGTACAGCTTCCCAGGCTTCATTTAGATTTCCTGGTGAATCAGATTCTCTAGGATGGCCCTCTGACATACCTTTCAAAGATTTTTTTTTTTTAAGATTTATTTATTTGTGCATACAGAACTGGGGTACAGGCCAGAGATGCAGGGGCGGTGAGAGGCTTCACCAGAGGCGGAGTGGGGAATAGAACAGGCAGATTGACGAAGTACACTGCTGAGGGGAGCAGCGGGCGGGTCAGGAGAGGTCTGCTGCGCCTTGTGGTCACCTCCGGAGCAGGCGGGAATCGAACTCATGCGGAAGCAGCTTTAGATTCTCAGTGCTGTGCTCTAATCCGCTGCGCCACCAGGGAGGGCCTCAAAGATATTTTTATGAAAGCTGGGATTGAGAACAAATAAAGTAAAGCTTTCCCTGTGTAATCCTTGCCCTTTTTCCATCCTCTTTTTATGTCTTCATGGAGATTACTTCCAAGAGAAGTAGCCCCCAGTTTCTGTGTCTTCCTTGGAAGAACATGGCTCTTTGTGGGGTTTGGAAGTTCTAGGGAAGAAGGTAAAGTGTGATCTTGCAATTTAGGCAGTAAAAAGAATATCTGGTTATGAGGATGTTATAAAGGTGTTTTTCTACTGGCTAAGGGCATCGTTACTCTAACATACCCTCCTCTCTTCTATCCTGGGTGGACACAGAATGACTCAATCCCTTAATCACACCTACTCTCCATTTTCCTGCTCCCCAACTATTCACCTGTCCCAATAAACTCAGGACATCAAGACCTTACATTCTGCTTAAAAGGAAATCTATTAAGTGTGTCCTCACATAAATATGACAAGCAAACAATTTTTTTAATATAGTTAACTGATGGTTAGTAAGTCATTCCCACCTGGGAAATAAATGCAGGGAAACCTCCCTTTAAAGTATGTATACACTCTTAAATCTACAACAGTGGGCTAAATCCTCTGGAGAAATAAAACAGAGGTCTGAGCTTGAGAATTTTGATTTTAAGGGTCTGTTTGGTGATATGGTTGAAAGCTCCTGGTTCTGAGAAGAAATACAAACTTGATGTGTTGAAGTTCTATTTTCTGCAGCACCTACTCTAGCTTGACCCTATGACTCTGGGAGTGAACAACTAAGCTGTATCCCCTTCTGTGTGGAACCTTGACAAAGGAATCATTTTCTAGCCAGACAAGCTAAGTCAACCTGCTAAATTAGAGTCGGGTTAATAATACTTCTGCCCTATTTAAACGTGCACATTGCAACTCACAGGAGATTGAATTTCGTATTTGATTTCAATTAGCAAAGCATAAATTATATTTAATTTTCTATTCCCCTCCCTTCTCTCAAGTGGATGATTCACAGCTCTGGAAAGCCTGCTGTGTGTGGTTCAGAGATGAGAAAAGGAGAATGCATCCTTCTAAAGAGTGAAATTGCGATTGCCCCTATTTTCATCTGCTTCGGCCAGTGTCATTCTGCCCCTGAATGGTAAGTAGACCCTGGCCTTGCCATTTGGACACGCCTGCTCAGACACTATGACAATGACAAGGACCTGCAGCAGCCCCATCTGACCTTCCACTCATATGGAAGCCAGGAATGTAAGGATGTGACCATTCAGTGGGAATTCCCTGCAACCTTCTGGAGCTTTTCTGATCAAATGTTTTTGGAATTTGCATTTATTATACTTTTAAAATATATATTTATTGAGCTGACCTTGATTCATAACTTTAGATAGTTTAGTGATATAGGTTCACATCCCTATAATGTATATTATCACATCGTGTCCACCACCAAAAGCCCCAATAACCCTCCCCTCTCAGATCAAATGTTAAGTGTGGGAGAGCACTACCCAGTCATTCCCTAGTACCAAAATCCTAAATGGAGCCTCACTTCTTTAAAACCTCAACTTCTTGGTTCTTTCAGTTTCTTGTCTTTGCTGTTCCTTCCCATCTTCAACTCTTTATTCCCCAAAGAAAGCCTTTGCCTCTCTAACCAGGGAGTTGAGTTCTATCCTTGCCTCTGTGTCATGGGCAATTAGCAGTCCTCATTAGTTTTCCTGTCTTTAAAATGAATATATTTCATCCCTTTTTGCCTACCACCAAAATTAATTAATAAACATGGAGTCGTCTGAAAAAAGTGCTGCCATCACACAGTGGACAGTGATGATGATGATAATGCTAATGATGGTGGCAATGCCAGAGACGGTGATGATGATCATGAAGAAGAGGAAGTAGGAGGAAGATGAAGAGGGAAAAGAAGAATTCCTGATAACCCCTTCCAGAACAATATAACTTTATATATCTCTTTCAAGACTGTATCTTTAATCAGTCTATACTGAGGATGCTAAGGAAAAAGAAACCACCACTCCTGTCAATCAAAGCTGAAGTCAAATAAAAGTGCTCTCTAAATAGCAGGGAACTGACTGAATTTCAGGCATACAAATGCAAACTGTTCTCCTGCAGGTCAGGACCCCAGCCCCACCCCATGAGTAGACAAATCTTCTCACTCTGACCTTTTGCCTCCTCCCTCACGATTCTTTTATACGCAATAAGCTGCTCATTCATGCAGGACAGAACAAATCTTCCAGAGATGGAAGTGGGGGTGGTTTTCAAGCACCTGTGATATGAATTCTGTGCCTAGAGTTCTGATATACATGGAAAGCTGAGAACCAGGGCTGGCGCTTTGGAGCAGACCTCTGACAGATTTCTGGAAATAAAGTGGGGTTGGGAGATCTCCTTAGATGATTTATGTAACAAATTAAGGTGGGGAAGAGGTGAGTCCATATGATTTCTAGGTTCCCAAGGGGGTGAGGATGTCTCATTTTCACATACAGGAGATACATGAAACCACTTTTATATATTGGAAAATACATGGCAAGGTAATAATACCAAGTCATTTGTAATCAAGGCAAGAAATAAAGGCCAAGGAAATATATGGAATATGTTTCCACTACTGGAATGTGGGCGAGTCTCTCTAGTGTACTTGGATGCAGGAAAGCAGAGCTGCGCTACAGTCAATCAGGGTTCATCTGGGCTTTACCCCACAAATAGGATGTTGTGATCGAGTAGCAATGAACAAGACATGGGAGAGAGAAAAGCAGAGTTAACAGGCTGCCCAGCCCTAGTGGGGAAGATGAACACAAGCACGCAGCCATTGTTGCATGAGATGGGATGCAGAAGGTGCTCAGGAAACAAACTAGCACAAAGGAAAGACCGAGTACTGAGACATTAAAGACCACACTCTGCACACTCAGTGGCATTTTGCCTTTTCCCAAATCATGACTTTTCTCATGCTCTAGAGTTAGGCTATCTCACAAAGAGTTAAACAACGTCTGGATCAAAGACATAACAAATACAGGATTGGACAATTAAGAAAATAAATTAAGAGATGTGTGTATGAGAAATACTGCCTTCAAGGATAATCTTTTCCCATAAGGAGGTTGCTGTCTCTTTAAGTGACTATAGCCAAGTCATTAATGGGAAACACAAATCCTTCCAGAGTCTGCCCACCCACTACCACCACCGATAACTTCGTTGGCATTGTCTAAGATCAAAACCAGACTGTGACACTCTTCCCTTAGCTGTCAGCGATTTGTTGACTCATATATCAAGAATGAAATACCAGATCGATAAAAATTCAGCTTTTCTGAAAATGGACTAAATCAATGATAGTTAAAATAGAAACCTACACAGTCACACATCTTAGATTAAAAATGAATGTAGCCTTGCCCTCCAGGTCAGGAATGATCAAC